ACTAATTCCCTTGGCTGAATTGCATTGTACTTTCAGCTGTTTGCTCCAGACAATTAGGAAGGGACTTACCCACAAAAAAAAAAAAAAAAAAGAAAGAAATTGTCATGTTGGGTAGGGAGAGATGCTAGTGTTAAGTAGGGAATGTTTAAATGGAGAATAAATTTTTTGTAGGTGCTCAATTGAGTGGTGAATTTTTTTAATACTATGACTTTTACTTCCCTTTGTAGCTTCATAAAGTCTGGGACTTGGATAATGATTATTCATAAAAACAAAGGATCCCTTTTTGTTTTCACTAAAAAAAGAACATAGCTACATTTAAAAAATGGAAAATAGAGAATTTGCTCTTAATTCCATCCTAAATGTTTTGTAGTGTTTCCTAGTCTCCTTTATGTGTACATTTTTGCACAGTAGTTGTCTCAGTGTAAGAATTTTTAACTTGCTTTTTTCACTTAATATTATGTCTTAAACCACTTTCTATTGTTACTATATAATCTTCATAAACACCATTTTTTACAGTTGTAGAATGATGAGGAGAGCTCTTCTAAACAAACATACAAGAACTTAGTTAATAGTGTTCAAAGTGAGGGATTCTACTCTGCTACTTGAGGCCTCTGGATCTATAACAGAAAAGGACAGGGCTTGATTAAATATGATCATTCATCAAATACCGAGTTAACTTCTATGGTCAAGGACTTACGCTAGGCACTAGAATATACATGTGAATAAATCATTCTCTACCTTTGTAGAACTTGAGATTGAATGGGGTGACAAGCAAATAAATAAGTACAATAAAGCAAAACAGAGAGTCAAGTGCGAAAGGGTGGTCAAGAAATTGTTTTATAGAAGTGGTGACCCTTGAAAGAACAGTAAAGGCACAGAACACAGTGGTACATTGAGGGAACTACAAGTAATTCAGTATTTTAGGGAATTGGGTCATAGATCTATACTTCCTGTCATGGATTGAATTGTGTCCCCAGAAATGTGTGTCAACTTGGCAAGGCCATGATTTCCAGTATTGTGTGATTGTCCACCATTTCGTCATCTGATATGATTTTTCTATGTGTTGTAAATCCTACCTCTATGATGTTAATGAGGTGGGATTAGTGGCAGTTATATTAATGAGGCAGGACTCAATCTACAAGATTAGATTTTATTTTAAGTGAGTCTCTTTTGAGATATAAAAGAGAAAAATGAACAGAGAGACATGGAGACCTCATACCACCAAGAAAGTAGTGCCAGGAGAATAGTGTGTCCTTTGGACCCGGGGTCCCTGCACTGAGAAGCTCCTTGACTGGGGAAGATTGATGACAAGGACTTTCCCCCAGAGCTGACAGAGGAAGAACCCTTTCTTTGGAGCTGGCACCCTGAATTTGGACTTCTAGCCTCCTAGACTGTGAGAGAATAAATTTCTCTTTGTTAAAGCCATCCACTTGTGGTATTTCTGTTATAGCAGCACTAGATAACTAAGACAGAATTTGGTACTGAGAGTGGGGTGCTGCTCTAACAGATACATACAATGAGGAAACCGTTTTGAAACTGTGAATGGATAGGGGCTGGAAGAGTTTTCAAGTGCCTAATAGTAAACACCTAGGTCGCCTTGAGGAGACTGTTGGTAGAATTATGGACATCAAAGAAAATTCTGGTGGGGACTCAGAAGGAAATGAGAAGATCTGTTACACCAGAGATGGTGCAGATGGTGAGAAGAAGTAGCAGAGAAACGGCAGCAGCAGAACCAGGAGACTAGCATGAGACAGTGCTGGAGCTAACCGACGGAGTGAGAGAGCTGAGTACCTTTGTGCAGGAGGCTTCCTGGTGGAGTGGGGTGCCTTCCAGCACTCATCAGTGGAACTAGGCTAGCTGGCCCATGGAGCAAGACAGCTGAGTGCTTTCTGGCTGAAGTTTTCTGGCAGAGTGGGGTGCCTCCAGGTACTTATCGGTGGAGCTACAGAGCTTTGGGACACTTGCTTGAGCAGGGCAGACATGGACAGTGAGGCACAAGGGGCTGAGAGGCCAAAGAATCAGGAACCAGAAGCTGAAGAGACAGGGAGCACAGGAAGCAGAGCTCCCTCAGTCTCAAATAGTAGGACGGTGACCTCTGGGGTCTCAAAGGATGGAGTCGCCACTCGGATGGACTAGGAGAGTGGGGCTGCCCAAATTCAAGACAGCAGAGGGGGTCTGGAAGGCAGAGCTGAAATCCAGGGCCAAGGGGCCTCCACCCAGAATCCTGAGAGTATGGCCAACACCTAAATTCTGGAGGGCAGGGCCATTGCCTATATGGTCTCAGAGAACAGAGGATTGTTTTCAAGCCTTGAGAGCCAATGAAATGTGGTCTGCTGACTTGCTTGGTACCTATTATCCCTTCTTTCCCTCCAATTTTTCCCATTTGTAATGGAAATGTCTAGCTTGTGCCTGTTCCACCATTGCACTTTGGAAGCAGATAATTTGTATTCTGGATTTCACAGATGAAGAGGAATTTTTGGATTTTGGACTTGGAGTTGAATTAAGACTTTTGCTATGATATGATGGGGTGAACGTGTTTTACATGTGGCAAGGACATGAATTTTGGGGGGCCAAAGGTTGGAATGTCATGGATTGAACTGTGTCCCCCAAAAATGTGTGTCAACTTGGCTAGGTCATGATTCCCATTATTGTGTGATAGCTAGCTAACTAGGACACTTACTGATACTAAACACTCTACAAGACATATTGTTAAGTGAAAAAAGCAAATTGAGGAACAATGTAATGATATGATTCCATTTATGTAAAAAATAAAACTATATTGGTGTACCTACATATGTATTTATAAATACATAGCAAAAGTTATGAAAAGACATATACCAATTGTAACAATGGTCACCTTTGGGGAGGGGCGTGAATGCAGAGGTAGAGATATTTAAGGAAGATATGGTTTGTATTATTTTAGGAGATTGTTTTCAATTATATGTGTCATTAAAAATAATAAGTAGATAATGAATAAATAAATGATGGAACATTGATACAATGGAATGTTATTCAACCATATAGATATGATGCTGTAAATAAGTAATTTACAGGCATTTTTTAGATTTAGAACTCTTTTTTCAAACTCTGTCAAGTCTAATTTTTTAAAAAGCAGAGCTGTCTCGTTTGTAAATGTGGCTGGAGGGCCTGGAACTCTTGATTTCTGTGTTTTTGTGCAGGTATGCAGATAAAGAAGTCTGGTGTGCTAAATATACCCTGGGATGGTAACAGTTACAGTCTCTGAGAGATAAAAGTGTAAATGTTTTAAATTTCTTTTATTGGATTTGACTAATTTTTCTATACAAAACAAATATTGTTCATTGTAGTTAATACTTGATTTTTTTTTTGAGAAAATACTCAGCACCTTGGCTATATGATGAATTAGACATTCTCATACATTGGTTATGATAATATAACTTGAAACATCTGTTTTAGAAAGAAACTTAGTGTCATGTGTCAAGAGTCTATGAAAATGATCCTACCCTTTGATCTAGTAAGTCTACTTCTAACAATGTGCTCTATGAAATAACCTGAGTCTTATGTAAAAATATGCTTAAAAAAAAAGAAAACCCATTGCCGTCGAGTTCATTCCGACTCATAGCGACCCTATCAGAGCATTATTATAATAGTGAGAAATTGTAAATGACTTTAATATCTTACATTCCATTTGATTAAATATTATGAAGCTCTTCAAATTATATTCAAGAGGATTTTTTAATAACATTGGAAAAGGCTTGATAATTGAAAAGCCTCTTTTTGTTCAGCCCTACCCCTGCAGAAGTAGACAGTATTTTGACTTCTATTGCCATAGGTTAGTTTTGCCTCTGCTTGAAATTTATACGTACTCTTTTATGTCTCTCTTCTTTCACTCAATATAATGTCTTTGAGATTTATCTGCATTTTTGTGTGTATTAATACTTTGTTCTTTTTTATTACTGCATAGTATTTCATTGTATGAATATACCATAATTTATCCAGTCGCCTGTTGATATGCATTTGAGTTATGTCTAGTGTGGGGCTATTTATTATAAATAAAGCTGCTGTTAACATTCTTGTTCATGTCTTCTTGTGGATATATGTACTCATTTCTCTTGAGTAAATACTTAGGAATATCATTGCTAGGTTAGTGTATGTTTAACTTTATAAGAAACTGCCAAGCTGTTTTCCAAACTATACCAATATATACTCCCACCAGCAATGTACTGAAGTTCCAGTTACTCCATGTCCTTGCCGGTGCTTGATATTAATAGTCTTTTACATTTTAGCCTTTCTGGTGGATATGGAGTGACATCGCATTGTGATTTTTGTGCATGATTTTTAAAAGTGCTTTTTGCTTTGGTGTTACCTTTTGAACAAATGATCTCATTTTTAGGACACTTTCCTAAGGGCATAATCTGAAATCCAGAAAAAAATTGTATGTACATATATGCTCTTATCTGTATAACTTATAATAGCAAAATGTGAGACATAACCTAAATGTTAGGTATATGGAAGTAGTTACGTAATTTTTATACGTTCATAACGGTAAAATATGAAGCCATTCAAAATTATGTAGATTGTTTAGATTATTATAAGTAGGATAAAAATTGTACATGGAGTATGATATCAACTATAGAAAAATACGTTCATTAAAGTAAACTAGAAATACTTCAACAAAAAAAAGTTTACTAAAAAAAATACTGGAAGGAAACACACCAAAATATCTTTGGATCTTGGTACTATGTAATTTTTTTTCCTATCCTTATGTATTTTTTCTAATGAGCATGTATCATTTTAAAATAGCACACAATGTAAGTAAACTTTATTTTTAAAAAAATTACAGATTTTATGTTCTATAATGCTTTCTCCTACCTAATCTTTTCTGTAAGTTGAGAATTTGTTCTCTTGAATATTTTAGTATATTGATTTCTTTTACTATTTCACTCCCAAATTATAAATTGCATGGAAAAAACACTCTCATGTTGTTTCTTCTTCTGAACATGTGGTGTTCCAACATTCAGTCCAGGACAGAAGATAAAATAGAGTGATTCAAGAAAGCAGTTGAGTACTATTCAGTTACAACCAAACTGTCTTTGCTGCCAGTGGGTCCCTCCTTTCTAGGTAAGACTTCCGTGTGACCCCAAGCTATTCTGTCCATAGGCAAAACTGAATTGGTCTCTCAGGAACTCCTGGGCCAGAATGGAATCACTTGTTTATGTTTTGCCTTTCTAGAACTCATTCCTGTTTGGTAGGCGTTGTCCTTTTGATTTGCATATAATAAGAGATGTGACATCAGAAAGGGCCCTGCTTTCTCAAATTTATAGATGGGCTCTGTCTTAGTCATCTAGTGCTGCTGTAACAGAAATACCGCAAGTGGATGACTTTAACAAACAGAAGTTTATTCTCTCACAGTCTAGTAGGCTAGAAGTCCAAATTCAGGATGTCAGCTCCAGGGGAAGGCTTTCTCTGTCAGCTCTGGAGGAAGGTCCTTGTCATCAATCTTCCCCTGGACTAGGAGCTTCTCTGCACAGGAACCCCGGGTACAAAGGACACTCTGTGCTCCCAGTACTGTTTTCTCAGTAGTATGAGGTCCCCTGTCTCTCTCCTCACTTCTCTCTTTTGTATCTC